TAAATTTAAAGTTTAAATTAATATATACCTCAAATACACTAAATTTTCAAATTGAATTTGCCCTAAGTCAATTTGCCTTCTCTCTCTCTCTCTCCCTCTCTCCCTCTCCCTCTCTCTCTCTCTGTGTGTGTGTGTGTGTGTGTGTGTGTGTAGAAATTCTGTGCACAGGTACCATAAAAACAGTAAATTTCATCTGATGCTCTATCTGATGCATATATACACACATAATCATATACACACAAAGGAAACAGTCAATTCATGATAAATGTTAACTGATCAACATGATATTGGCTTATCCCAAAAATAAAAACAAATTGAGGCAACCCTCAGACTTCCTCATACATGAAAGCTAAGGCTGTTTCAGCAGCATCATTCAGTAGAAAGTCATTTCACCCTCAAAACAATCTTATGAAGCAGCCACCCGCTTTATCACTGAGCTGATGAAGGCATAGTTGATACATCTTACCCAGATCACACAGCTAAAAAGGGAAAAGCATAGATGCCAACCCAGTAGTATTCTTAATCACTTTTTTAAAAAAAGTATTCATAAACCATGTATTTGTGGCTAACTAATCCAGATACTGATCTAAGAGTAATTTTTATTCCAATTTTCTCAAATTGGAAATCAGAAGAAAAAGGCAACTGACCAGCTGCCGAAATTTTCCGGTTGTGCAAACTGAGGCATGTCCCTATATGTCTCTGAGTCGAAGTTTTAGCAAAATGGACTTAGGAAGTCTACGTAGCATACCTTACTACTCTTTTAATTTTTGGCCCCAGGTTTCTTTTGAACAAATATCTGGTATAAAAAATAAAAAAGAAATGGAATGCTCAGTTAGATAATAGATATGAAGTGTTCTAGAAAGTATAGTATGCGGCCGGGTGCGGTGGCTCATGCCCATAATCCCAGCACTTTGGGGAGCCGAGGAGGGCGGATCACGAGGTCAGGAGATCAAGACCATCCTGGCTAACACGGTGAAACCCCGTCTCTATTACAAATAGAAAAAATTAGCTGGGCGAGGTGGCGGCGCCTGTGGTCCCAGCTCCTCGGGAGGCTGAGGCAGGAGAATGGCGGGAACCCGGGGGGCGGAGCTTGCAGGGAGCCAAGATGGCGCCGCTCACTCCAGCCTGGGCCACAGAGCGAGACTCCGCCTCAAAAAATAAATTAATAAATAAAGTATAGAATGCTATGTCAATGTTACTTACTTTTATTAGTATTTATTATCTTTCTATGATTAGCGATATAAAAATACAAAAATAATTTAGTCTGATGATCCCCCTTCTATATTCAATTATTTCATATAAGTATATATGATAGAAGAATAAAAAATACAAATCTATTTCTTCCTAAAACCATTCAAAATAACCTAGCAAATCAAAAATGCATAGTAAATATTTCACAGCTATAACTAGAGTAAAAGCATTTTTTTTTCAAATTCAAAATTCGAATACACAAGACAAAAACAAAACAAAACAAATCAGCCAAACTGGTATTCTGAAAAAATCTACATTAGTCTTAATGATTTTTGATAAACAGAACATATATCTGAATGCCTGACAAATAAATTTACGTACACATGGTTTTTTTAAAAACATATGCTATAAAAATGTATAGTTGTTTTATTTCTTTTGACTCACTGTTTCTCTTCTGGAGGGAAATAAAAAATAAAATTCCAGAAAATTAGCAAGTTTAGAAATGCCTAAAAGATGAGTAAACAATCAAGTTGCTTCTTAGTTTTGAAAAATTTTCTTAAACTGCTTTTTAAATATTAATTTCCATATGCCATTCAAAAACATTACCTTGCTTATAACTAAAACTGGTTATTGCAGTTAATGAACTAATGCTAAAACAGTATTACAAGGCAATACTCCATATACACACACATACACATGCACACACATACACACATATATACTATATATGTATACATACACACACACATACACATGCAGAGTCATTTGATGGAGGATAACGTTTCAGTCAACAGTGGATCACATATATTTCGTGTGTGTGTGTGTATCTTTTTAAGAAAATTGTGAGAGCCTGGTGATGTGCTAGATACTGTACTAATCCCCAGATATATAAAATTGTAAATAAAACACAAATAACAACTGTTTTCACTGGGTATTAAATATACTTAAAAAGTCATGTATTTAATGGTTTTCCAAGTATAATTTTCTTAAAAACCATGAAAGGTAAGGAGATACTGTATAAACATGTATGTAGGGAAAACGAAACTAGTTTGAGGCTTTACGGAAGACACCCTCAGGAAATGACACTTGAAAATAAAGGATTTGGTCAGGTATGGCAGGGAGTGTTTGAGTGGGATGATTCCAGGTAGGGGATCAGCAAAACGTATAGAGTGCAGAGTGGAAGAAGGTTTGTCCATTCAATGAATGGAAAGGCAGCTCCATAGCTGCAGCAGAGTGATGAAGGGGCAGACCCATGAGGGAGCTTTCTGAGGTTCACAGGTCAAGTGGAGAGCGTAAGAGTCACAGAAGGCTTTTTAAGCAGACCATGATCAGAAAAGGAAAAATATATTTAAAATCCTGACAGCTCATGAGGACATACTGAATTTCATAAAACACCACCAGTAATTAGAAATTATTTATCCATTATAAGATTATTGATTTCAAAGTTAGTAGAGAAACACTGTATTTAGGTAAGATACTAAGAAAAAAGATTTAAGTTGCTATAATGGAAGTGAACATATTAGAAGGTATTTGTTTCAACGACAAAAGATTAAAAGATTATACAAAAGTATAATCTCAAAATCATATTTGATATAATAAATATGGTTAATTTACAAACATAGAAAGATATAGTAGAAATAGCTATATTTGTTATATTTTGTTACTATTGAAAGTTCCATGAGAAGAGTGTCTAACACTGAATAGCCGCTCAGCCTGCCCTCAGTTGAAAAGATACAGTTTAAAGTGATATTAATATAAATATTTCTGAAATTTTATAAAGTTTCTGTAGATTTGTCAATGTCCTAGCTCTCCAGAACATGCTTTATCCTAGGTAAGACACTACCCAAAAATCAAGAAAATGGGTCACATTCTAAAATACCATTAGGCCTTTCTTCATTGACAAGTTACCAATTTTACATTGGCCATGACTATTAAATCTCTGTCATGTGCAGATAGCTTGGTTTTAATCTGGTGCTTGCTTGGAGACTCGGCTTTGCACCACAGGCCAGATCTGATATCTTCAACAAAGGACAGCATCAGGAAAAGGAATCTATTAGGTACTTCCTGATAAATTCTAGACTCTGGTAGAGGCATCTGAGTTGATGTCACTTACATAGCTTCCAGACTAGAGCGAAAGACTGAGTCAGGATTTCTATATTTTCATATGTAGTGGGCTACAAGGATTAATGCCTGTGTGAACTAGGTGTCCATTTTATTTTGGTTCTTTGAAAAATCGTTTTAGTTTACAGATATATAAGGATTTCCTTCTGTAGGTTACAGTAATTTTGTACTTTTGCAAATGAAATAAAGCATTTAAAATATCTCACTAGGTCCTCAGTTTCCTTACTTTACATGGTGACATGGTTATTTGCATAGGTTCATAGAGTCTACTTATTCATCAGGATATAGTTAAACAAATGAGTTGCATAACTAAGGCCTTATGAAGGTGCCCACATTGGAGAACGATGCATACTGAGTCAGGTAGAACCACTGCTTTTAAGGAACCAAGGCTGACTTTATTTATGGAACCAGTCACTGCAAAGTTCATCCAGGAAACTTGACCTGATACTTGGCTGATGCGATGCAGTCTCACAAGTCAGGAAGGTCATTTCCTGGAAGGCTACGGATGTTAACAAATTTCGGTGACCCTGAGAATAGCGGATACACCCAAAGGTACAGGTAGTACAGGTGAAATCTGTGTCTGCTTTTTTGGGGTTGGCTTCCTAACCTCCAGTTAGTAAACAATAAAGGCTTTTAAAAGTTCAATCTGAGATTTCTTACAAAAATTTCCAAGTAGAAGTGAATAACTCAAAGATCCAGGGCTTTTTTAAAATTAGAGATAGGGTCTTGCTTTGTCACCTTAGCTGGAGTGCAGGGGCATGATTATAGTTTACTACTACCTCAAAGTCCTGGACTCAAACAATCACTCTGCCTCAGCCTCCTGATTATCTCGGGTACAGGCACGTATCACCACACCCAGCTCATTTTCTTTTTTTCTCCTTTGGTAGAGATGGGGCTTTTCCATATTGCCCACGTTGGTCTCTAACTCTTTGCTTCAAGCCATCCTCCTCCCTCAGCCTCCCAAAGGACTCAGATTAAAGGTGTGAGGCACCACCCACCCTGAGTCTTCTACTGTAGAAAAATAAATCAGCCTTTCGTATGTATTCCCCAGTCTTTGTGTCTTTCTCTAGTCTAAAAGCTGTAAAAATTTTCTAAAACTCGAATGTTTCAATGTCTGCTGTTCACCAAACAGAACAATTTTTATATTTTATTTCAAGAGCTTTCAGACAAAAATGACCTTTCAGTATTCGTATTTTTCTATTTAAAAAAATAAATTTCTTTTTGTCCATCACAATATCTCTGAACCTAAGTTTACACATTTATAACACAAGTATACTGGTATAAAATTATCTCAAAGATTACCAATAATACTAGCTTACTATACTATAATATAATAATTATATATTTCTAAGATTTAATGTGCAAATATTATACTAATAACATTAACTCGGAATGATTAAATTCAGAATAATAATTCTGGATGTTAAAAATAGGTAAGCCCACTTGACAGCAATATTCAATTAAATATCAGCTTTTAGACTATACTTTTGTATCATATATTAATATAACAATAACCTTATCGTGGTTTAATTTTATTTTTGCAATTTACACATGATAGTATATGAAATAAATAGTTGTAATTTTATATTCTAAATCTGAAAAGCCAAATCAAAATATTCTACATGATTTATCTCATTATAAGTTAACATTTTAAACACAAATTGGATATGTGTTTAACTCACACTTACCCATGAAATTGAGATAGCCTTCTCCACCAAGCCCATGAGTAATGAGTCGAATCATTTTATGAAGCTGTATTCCACGATCAATAACGGGAGTAAAAGGACTCAGGACACTCATGTTTGTATACATTTCCGCATCCATCAACCAAAATGCCACTGTCTTATCCCCAACCAGTGCCTATAGAAATAAAAGTAATGGCAATAAATGAAAAAAAAAAAAAAAAAAAGCGCTAAGTAGTTGTGATTTACAATAGAACACCACATGGTTACGAATGATAGGAAACATTGTAGAAGAAGAGTGTAGGTTAATATTAATTTCAGGTATTTTCCACTGGTGATTTTCTAGGCGCAAGGTAAGCTGGTAAAATATGCTAGAAATCAACACAATTGTTTTCAGGACTGATTTTTATTTTTAAAATAGGTTGGTGAAAGATTCATGATAAGGTACCTGAATATCTGTTATGTTTGAGCTGACACCTCACATTTTCTGAAACATTTATTATAATGTTGAGAATATTAAACAGATATTTTAAACAACTTGTATATAATGATTTTATTTGCTTTGAAAGAAGTTTCTGAAAAACATTGATATATATAATGCATATATATTTTGCTCATATATATGAGTAATGTAATATTATATGTGTGTAACTATATCATAATAGTCCCTTCCTGCCCTCAGCAGAGAAAATAAGTTGAGAACTTTTATTTAAGCATAAATTTGCTTTCTCATTTTATTTGCCATTTAATCTAAATTTAGTTTGTTTTACCTGAAAACATAATAATTATTAACTGGGGCAGGTAACTCAGAAATGCCCTGAGTAACAGAAGAGAGACCTCCTAAAAATCTGAATTACTTACAGTTAAAAACATCTAATGCAGTGTTCATGATGGACAAAACAATAAATAACAGAGAGTAAAATGTGTAATAAAAATTAACCCATAATCTCAGTACCCTATTACAATTCTTTTCATTTTCTAGAAAACATTTTTGTTTACAATCTTTTCTATCTTTAACCTACTTTAATTAAAATTACTTTTCTTTAAAAATTGTTGTAAGATTTGTATCACTACTTCTTAAACACTTCACATTCCTACTTGTTTTGAATTCTTTAATTATGTTTTTAGCTGTAACTATTTATTTCTATAATCTCTGATTCTATTATAAAATTATTTTAATAACTTTTGATCAGATTCATAGATAAAGCTTATTCTCATATCAAGTTGCCCTCTTATAAAATCCTGTTGAGATACTGGTGAAACTAAGTTAAGTTAAAATCCTGTTGAGATACTGGTGAAATTAAGTTTACAAATTTAATTGTTAAGGATTTATCTAAAAAGTTTAAAATAACATCCACAAACATTTTTACTATAAATTATATGTTTATTTATTCATTTTTATGTATTCATATACATTTATATTTTTTATCTGGCTTAAGAATCAAAGTACATTTGCTTTTAGAAAGAACTAGGCAACTTGCATTATTTCTGCTATCCTGAGAATTCCTGAAAATATGAGACAGGATTACCTGAATTTTTAAAGTATGAAATAATTCTTGGTAAATTTGTTTCTTTACAGATTAGGTAGAAAGTTAGTAAGAAATCTGTTTCATCTTCCATTTGTTCATGCCACTCACTTGTTTACTTTCATTCATACAAAATAAACATATGCTGGGAATTCACTCTGTGCTGCAACTTCGAGGAGTCTGCAATACAAAGCTATAATCTATGCATATATTGTAATTTTCAAATTGTTGTGTATTTGGTGAGTTTCTCCCGCCCCACCCCCACCACTCACCTATTAAACTAATATTATTCTTTTCTAGATTGGGTTCTTCTTTTTTAGATAAGTATTTATCTTATCTGCTCTATGGACAAGGATACTATAAATTTAAGTTGATAAGAAAGCAAAGCCCCAATTTGGAAGATGCAAAATTTAATATGTGTTTACTTCAGAGGTCATCAAGTTTCTCTACAGGTGGGCCACTTTCCCTGTCTCAACTACTCAAATGCATCATTTTGACACAAAGGAGAATATGTAAACAAATGAGCATGGCTGTGTTCCAAGTAACCTTATTTACAAAAACAGGCAGCAGGTAAGACTTGGCCCATAGGCCTTGGTTAGCCAACCCCTGCTCTACTTACACTTTCTTAACAATTACAGGAGACACCTAAAAAAATAATGTTTGCATTAAATGGCCAAAATGATAGAGAAACTTAGTTTCAAGTTTTTAATAAAGATACTTTAAGTAACTTCATTTTATTGTCTACATTTTAATCTACAAAAAGTAAATTTTATGTTGATGTGTATGAGGATGAATGACTTTGAATAAGTGGTCTTTCTTCTCCATTTAAAAAATATGTATTAAGTGATTACTAGCATCAGTCACAGTGCTAAAGGCTGGAAATAGAAAGACAATGAAAAAAAATTCTGTTCCTAAAACATCACGGAAACTTGGAGGATGGGACAACTAATTTTTCCCTAGATGACCCAAGGAAGGCTTCATATAGAATGTGATGTCAGAGCCAGGCAATTAGGTCTGAGTAGGAACTTCCCAGATGCAGATGTGACGGGGGGAAAAGCACAAGATTGGAAAAAGCTGACCTATTTGGAATGGGTGGGGATTTCAAAGTACTGAAGAACAGGAGGCTTGGAGAGTTGGGCAGAGAATGAGGCTGGAAACTTCGGCTTGGGCCAAAATAGGAATGGCTTTGAATTACAGGCTTTGACCAATATATGTGGGTTGACAAGATGAACTTTCCTCTTTGGAAAATATCTTAGGCTGTATTCGAGAAGACAGACTAAGGTTGGAAGGAACAGGGGTCAGGGAGGTCAATTAGCAGGAGACTTCAGTGATTGAGGGGAGAAAATGAAGAATGCACGTCAAAAGCATAAAATAATACCTCTAGATGGCAGCCTAAGATGGAAACTAAAATAACCCTGGTCCAGCACCAATACTCTTCATCATGACAAGGGAAAACATATAATACTTGCAACTACAATGTATAATCTATTAATTATAGTTTGGCAGGACAAACATACCACTGCATTTTGAAACTGGCGTTTCTCCATCTACAAATTTAACATTTTTTTCTAATATACCTAGTTGTCCTGTAAAGATACATATTGATATACACACACACATACATTATAGTAACTACAGAGGTTTATATTTTGGTATGTTTCTATTTAAATGTTATTAAGGAGAGGGAAGGAGGGAGAGAGAGAGAGAAAGAAAGAAATGAATTTATGCACATATTCATTTACCTGATCATGGCTCTCCGCATAAGCAATGCACTTTTCAAGGTAGCGCCTGTTTGTGAGAGTGTATACTATGTCACCCATATTCCAGTCTTCATCTTTAAACTCTTTAAGTAGCTAGACAAAAGAGAGAAAAATAAGCTTCTGAGTAAACCATTACTTTTCTTATTTTAAATCCCAATCCGAAGGGATGAATTATATCAGTGTATTTGATATACACATATTAGCCTACCCATATAGCAAAGTTATCACTGTTTAAACTTTTACTGAAATCACAGCTTTTATACAGAATGTCCAAATGACAGTGGTGTAGAGTGAGTGTGTGTGTGTGTGTGTGTGCGCGCGCGCGCACGTACTTTTGTCCAGACAGTTTAATCATTATACTTTAGGATCTTTGCAACTTTTTTTCTGTAATAACTGCTACCTCTTGATTAATGCCCACAGTAATGTGTTATTGCACGGCACGACTTTCTATAACTTGCACATGGTAGAGATACACTTGTTACATTTTTTTTGTTTATATGAAAAATATTAGTAAAAAGAGGGTTTCACTTCATTTTTACAAAATGATAAAACAAGAAGTGTTTCAAAATTTAAAGCTAATTATCATGAAATAACTACCCTCTTAACAGACCACACATTTTGTGTCTGCATTTCAATTTCTATTCAGTCTTCAGTCTGGCTCTGTCCCTCTAACACTACACTTTTATGCAACTGAACTTGCTGAGGTTAAGCTTGTGGTCTAAGCTTAAGTTAGTAATTGCTCTCTCTGAAGTAGGTACTTGCTATACATATTGACACTGTCCTATCTCCTGCCCATGAACTTCTCTATGAAACTATGGTTTTATACTGTTTTGTTTTTTTCTGCCACTCCTGACATACTGTAAATTCTCTTCCTCTGTTTGTCCTATAAAGGCTAATGTTCCTCAGCATTATGTCCTATATTTACTCTCCTTCTTTAATGCAACACACTCATACAATTATGAGAACATAAGCAGTTCTCATAATTGCAGTGCAAATCTTTGGGCACCAGAGGGCAGAACGTGGAAGGCAGAAGAGCAACCATCCATAAATGTTTGCAGCCTAATCCACAAGAATCTGTCTAAAAAGTAGGCATGAGGGTCAAAACAAGAGAGAGATTTGAAGATGGTATACTGCTGCTTTGAAGAGAGAGGAAGGTGCCATGGGCCAAGGAACATAGGCAGCTTTTAGAAGTGAGACAAGGCAAGGAAATGGCTTCTCCCTTAGAACCTCCAGAAGAAATGCAGCTCCATTTACGCTTTGATTTTAGCCCAGTAAAACCCATTTCATTTTTGTAACACATAGAACCGTTGTGAATTTGTGCTGTTTAAGCCACTAAGTTTGTGGTAAATTGGATATAGGAACAATAGGAAACGAATGTATAGACCTACACAAATGTGCCAGACTTATTTTTGACAAAAAGGCAAAAGCAATTCAATGGAAGGAGGGCAGATGTTTCAACAAATGATGCTGAAAGAGTTGGATACCCATGGGTAAAAAGAGAAGATAAAGAACCTTGAGCTACGCCGTATATATTGCACTGAACTTAACTCAAAATGGATCACGGACTTAAATACAAAAAATAAAAACTATAAAACATTTAGTAAAAACCGTAAGAGAGTCAAAGTTCTTAAACTTGATACCAAAAGAGAGACCTACACAAGGGAAAAAATGATAAACTGCCTTCATCAAAATGTTTAAACAATTGCTCTGTGAAAGCCAATATGAAAAGGATGAAAGAACAAGCTTCCGACTAGGAGAAAAAATTTGTCAACCATACATCTGACAAAGGAGTTGAGTCTGAACTATATAAATAACTCTCAAAACTCAATGGTAAAGAAACAATGAAGTCAGGAAATGCTTAAAGGACATGAACAGAGACCTCACCAAAGAGGACATGCAGGAGGCATATAAGCACATGCTTGGTATCCAGCATTATAAATCATTCAAAAAATAATGAAACCACAATGAGATATCACTCTATGCTGATTATAATAGCTAAAATAAAACACAGTGACAACACCAAATGCTGGTGAGGCTGTGTAGAGGCAGGTCTCTCAAACATCACCAGTCGGAATGTAAAATGTTACAGCTACTTTGGAAAACAGTTTAGCAGTTTCTTAACAAATTAAACAGGGAATTACTATACAGTTCAGTAATTGTAGTGTTTGAGCATTTATCTCATACTTATGAAAACTTATGTTGATAAAAAATGAGTACATACATGCATACACTAACTTTATTCATAATAGCCATAAGCTGGAAGCAACCTGGAGGTTTTTCAATGGGTGAATGGTTAAACCGTGGTATACCCCTGCCTTGGAATCCTATTCAGGGCTGTTGAACATGCTGCTGATACATGCGACAAGAATGCTGGATGTAACAACATTGGAGGTTTTCTTGGATAATCTCGAGAAAATTTTGCTAACTGAAAATGCCAATCCAGAAAGGTCACAAACTGCATGATTCCGTTTATATAATATTTTTGAAATGATGAAATTATAGGAATGGAGATCACATTAGTGGTTGCCAGGGGTTAAGGCGTTATTAGAGGCAGGCAAGATGAAAATAAGTAGGTGTTACTCTAAAGGCAACGTGAGGGAATCTTGTGGCAAAGAATGTGTTTTTCACCTTGAGTATATCAATGTGAGTATCTTGGTTAAAATATCATTCTATGGCTTTGCAAGAAGTTACGACTGGGGAAAATTGATGAATGAGCATACCAGATCTCACTGTATTATTTCTTACAACCACATGTGAATCTACAATTATCCTAATATCTCAAAAAAGTTTAATTAAGAAGCTATATTTATCTTAGGTGCTCAGTAAATATTTGGTGGAATTAACAGATCAATGAATGAGTTCACCAGACACATACATCACCTTAACACAAACACCTCAAAAATGATCAAATAAAATGAAAGGAAATACAACAAATTTGGCATAATTTAGATAGTCAAATATTTGTTCAGTAATTGATTAAACTAAGAATGATATTTGAAACTAATGATTTTGAAATAATACAACTAGGAAATGATACATAATTTGCTTTTGAACTACAAAAATATGAATAAAATCTAGCATTCTAATCTAACTCATACTGTACGGGTAGACAACATTGCAGGCCATATACATTCGGACTACAGTTGTCATCTGATTTAATAACTCTTGAGTGTTTTATTGACATGTAAGGAAAATGGGAGCCACTTATTGAATTGTTTTTAAATGCACCACTTATAAAAGTAGAGGAAAATCACTGTGTCTAAGGGTTTTGTTGTAATACTATTTTAACTTTAGTTTTATTAACTAAGGGGGGACCCAATTTGGTGATACAATAAGAATTTTAAATAATTACATAAAATAGAAGATGATAACTGCTTTTACAGAACTTACAATCTAAAACAGGATGGTCATATCCTAAATTTAGGATAAAATATTTTTCTATTTGATAACTATGATTCTTAGAGTTTATCATGTATGATTAGTAAGTATGATACATTGCCTAATACATTACCTTCAGCATACAACATAATAAAATGTTTACTAGGTTAAATTTCCATTTTTTAAGCTGCCATGAATACTGAGAGAGAAAATATCTCACTTTGTGCTATTACTGACTGAAAAATAATTCTAGGTTGATGTACACCTTAAAAGATTATTGAATGTGAAAAAAGAATGATTAAGGCTTTTAGCAGGAGGTTAAAAAGTAAGATTTGTCACTTGTGAGGAAAAAAAATCTACATGAAAAAAACTAGAAATAGTAAGAGATGGGGCCAACAAGGAACCTTATACCAAGGTGAGAAACTGGAAGACCACAGCATTTTTTTTTAAAGTAACAAATACAAGGCTACCTTCCCATGTATGAAAGAAGAATACTCCTTTGTTTGTTTGTATGTTTTCTAAGTAAAAATCTTTATAAAATATTTGCTTTTGGATCTGATAATGTTTAAGGAATCACTATAAATGTAGGAGCAGAAATTACGTTGGTCAAAGTTTAATGTCAGAGCTATGCATTGCACAAATTGCCTGGGGAGACAGGAAAGACAGCTAAGAAATGATTATAGTAACCACTTCCTTAAGAGTAGGCTCTATGGTTTTTCTACACAAAATTAAGCCCTTCTACAACTGTGGTCTCATGGCACCAGTTCATGTCTGAAGTAAAGGGCTCATCAGAAAGCTATGATTATTTATACACAATCTGACTCCTTATACATATTCAGCCCATGAATGTCGACATGGCTGCTAAGAAATGTTCTGTATCAAACCTAAGTCTACATAATGACTTTAGTCCTTTAGGCAAACATTAAATGAAAAAAAAACCCAAACTACTTGAACTGTCATTAAATTTAATAAAAGTTTATTGATAAATGATGTGCAAAGTACCATGTATTCATTCCTAGTGTCTGACACATGGTAAGGACTTTTTAATGCTGAATAAAGGAATGGATGAACCCAATCCAAATCTGTCGAGGAAAAACCATACTATTAAGCAAGTACTGGGAATTAAGGAGTAGCTTTTACATTAATGCATGATCTGTAGGCATAAATGAATGCTTTAATGAAGTCTAATGTGTATTAAATATAGAGCACTGAAGTTTCATATAATTGCATTGATAATGCAAAATTCCATTTATGCAGCTAACATTATATTAATCATATTTTCCCTTTGCCTGAATAAGTATGAATACTTTGAATCAGAACTTTTAACATTTTGAGAAGCACCTTATTAAATAGCATAAGAATCGACAGACTAATGAAAGAATTTAATACTTCAATTATAATATCTGTAACTAATGATCACAACTAAGAAATAAAGATAAATGAAGCAACATAGTATTCGCAGAAACAAAAAATATTTACATAGACTCTTACCTGAATCCACTTATCTGGAATTGCCATGGCTAGTCGATAGTCGAAACCACCCCCTCCCTGGGAAATTGGAGAGCACAGAGCTGGCATTCCTGATACATCCTAGAACAAAAATGTCAGTTCATAATGATCGAACTTTTAGTAAATATTCTGACAGTAAAGCCCAGGTCAATAAATGAAAACAACAATAGGGGCATATATTTTGGGGCTGCTTTGGTAACGTAAAAGTCAATAAAACTGTGATAGCATATCTCATTTCCCAGAAAGATATTTGCTTAATGTTTTCACTCCAGGCAAACTTCGATCTCATGAAGCTATTTGTTTTTTTTCTTTAGTATCACCTAGAGAACACGAAAGAGTAAAACTATTATTGCTAAAACATAGTTTCTTATTTTTGAACTACTGTAGAACATTTATTAGTTTTGTTGCTTTCACCAAGCACAACAATACATGTGGCATAAATCTGTTATAGTTGTTCTTTCTGTACATAGCCCTGATAGGGAGTGTATTTTTGTGAACACTAACTTTTGATGAAATGGAATGTAGAGTTAGTACATTAACAGTGAAACAGTGCAGCAGCTTTTACTAAAGTAGGTTGCACTTAGAAAGGGTCTTTGAGATTAGGTAGGGATTATCTTCATTTAGCAGATATAGAAACGGAGGCTTACTGAGGTGAAGGGATCTCTCAAGATAGAGAATCCTTTTTTTTTTTTTTTTTTTTTGAGACAGAGTTTCACTCCTGTTGCCAGGCTGGTATACAGTGGCATCATATGAGCTCACTGCAACCTCTGCCTCCCAAGTTCAAGCGATTCTCCTGCCTCAGCCTCCCGAATGGCTGGGATTACAGGCGCACCACCACTCCCAGCTAATATTTTTTATATTTTTGGTAGAGATGGGGTTTCATCACGTTGGCCAGGGTGGTCTTGAACTCCTGACCTCAAATGATCCACCCATCTTGGCCTCCCAAAGTGCTGGGACAACAGGCATGAGCCACCACGCCCAGTCGAGATAGAGGATTCTTAATGTAGAGCCAGATTCAGGTATCAGGCTTTTTGACAGAGGGTCCTTTCTACTCTAGACAATTAGTAATCCAATAATTAATCAAATAAAATTAATCTAAAAATGGGTTTCAAAGATTGGTACAGGGACCCAGATGTAACAAAAGATAGTATTAAGACAACATTAGGAAAATATGCGCTAAGTATTATCAATTCTAATTCCACAATATCTTTCAAATAAGTTACTTTCCTTTGGTCCATTACCACAGCCACAATCTTATGTAATCTTCATTACTGCTTGCCTAGACCATATTCAAATGCATTCCCCATCTCTACCTTCTCTTTATACTAACTGTTGCCAAATTCATATCTTATGAGACAGTCTGCCCTTCAATAGATTTCAATATCCAACAATTGAAAATTCAAATTCCTTAGCTTCAGATTCAATTCAACAATTACACATTAAGCATTTACTATATGATTTACTATCCAGTTAGCTACTCCCCTACTCCCTGTTACAGTGTAAGATCCACGAGGTCAAGAGTTTATAGTTGTTGTTCACTGATATACCCCAAGAATCTAGAATAGTTTAATAATACTTGGCACAAGCAGGTTATTCAGTAAGTATCTGTTGAGTGAATGAGTGAGGTGCTCTGAAGGATTAAAAGATAAGACATAATATCTGACTTTCATAGATTAATAAACTAGGACCTACATACACATAAACATACTTATAATTATGAAATGACAACGTGATGTAGTTGTGATCATTAACTAAAGTGCGCAGAAAGTGAAAGGAAAGACATCTTTCCACCATTATTTCCTACTATTTCATTTTAATTACTAAGTACTTTGGCCACTTTGAAATATTCACCCTTGAATGTACTTGTTACCATCTTTTCTATATCTGTCAATGCCCAAAGTCTTCCGTAGACTATGATCCTCACTTCCTGTAAAAGACTATCAGATACCATAAGCTCTCTGAGACTCAGGTTAAATGCCTCTTTTTTTTTTTTTTTTCTTATGGAAGGAAAGTATAAGTAAATATATTATATGGTAGAATACATCCATAAGAAATTGTTTGTCGGTAATATCTTATTTTTGCATAGCTCTTTATGGTTTATAAAGTAGAAAAAAGATGATCAGTAGAAAAGAAGCCATTTCAACCATTCTATTTATCAAAATATAAGTCACATTTCCACAGACAGGATTGGATGAATATGTATTAAATATCAGGTTCCATATTAGGAACTAGAATTACAGACACAATGCCTTCTGAAAAGAGTTTCCAAAGACCAAACTGTAAAGAATGACTGGTGATGGGCTGGTATTAAAGATCAAGATAAATTTTCTCAAGAAAATATTAAGGCATGTTCTATATCCAGTCTCAATGTAGTTTTAGGAAATAGAATCTGCTAAGAAAAACATATGGTCATCATGAAACCTAATCATCCCATAGATAGATTTTTTTGATAAACATAGAAATTAATCCTTTTGAAAAGCTTGAAACCTATATTTGTCCCTCAAGGTTCTCAAAAAAATGTATCAAAGAACTGAAGTTCACCAAATCATGACATGCAATGAGATGCCAGACCAGTCATTCCTCATGATTGCTTCCTTACCCCTCTCTAGTTCTGTTTTCTTACACATTGTTACATTTATTTCTTACTATATAAACCTCTAATTTTAGTTGGTCAGAGAGGTGGATTTGAGACTGATCAAAGTCTTCTCCGGCGATAATCACTGTCTCAGTGATTGGCTTTCTGTGCAGCAAGCAGCAGGACCTAGACTGAACCCCTGGTGATTCAGTAACAATCATATAGTCTTGACTCCTAAATCTGATTTCTAGAAAGCTGCCTCATTAATGCATAGGAATTACTTTGGCCCTCCTTTTGAAAGTGGAAAGTTAGTGACTGTTCTTTTAAAATTTTTAAGAAAAAAAGGTAAATCATAAAGATCATCAAAATAAACATACTCTAAATATAAAACAATTGATGCCTACTCATATGGCATATGAAAATGATTCTGTGTTTGGGATGAAATTAAAATAGTTCTAATTTTTTACTATATAAAGAGCACTTATAACCATTCCAGAGGGAAAGATACGTCAATCAAAAATGTTTTAATATAGCAAATATAATAATGTAAGATGGTAGATACATTGAGCAAAATACAAAAAGAAATTCAAGTTTTTGTTATTGTCATTATAAATAAATTCATATTTCTACTAGAGGAATTTAAATAAATGTATATTGCTTATCCATTCAAACACATTCCTTTTCTTAAAAAAAAAAGTTCATGGGGATCAACTCTACATTTGGAAGAGACTCCCACTAGACAGAAAAGTGATGTACTGAAATTGAAGTAGTTTTCAATTTAAGTAGAATAAATTGAAAGTACATCTTGTTTTTTAAAAAATCTAAAACCAAGTAATATAAAGTAGGCTAAAGTCTCAGTTTCATTGGTAGAAACACTGATAATCAGACCAGAGCTCCCTAGATGATGAGACTATTTTACTTGAAATGAATGGAAAGATCAATGTAACAATTTTAACTTTCATGTATTAAATCATTGCTTCTTTTCCTTCAGTACCCACTTTTGATTTGTGCTGTCATTAATTGTAATTAATTGTAATTTGTCATTTGTAATATCTCTTTGGATTGCCATAAATATCACTGACAAACTAATTAAATTTTTGATGTTTGAGAAATAAAATTCAAATATACAGAAGACAAAAGTTTAAAATACACTCTGAATGATGTTAAAGATACTCAGCACAAAAAGAATTAGCACAAGTATTAGTAAGATGTGCTATGATCAAATGTAGGTAGGTCATGACTGTGAAATAATACTGGGTGTCTAAATTGTATGATAGGTTGTTGGTTTTGAATTGTACATAAGAACCAATTTCAGGAATTTAGGGCTCCTGCTCTATTCCCAGAAAATACTTAGAAAGTAAAGTGCCTGAAGGGAATAAAATTATTCTCCTCTATTCAAGCAATGAAATCATACCATTTATAAAATTAGAGATTTCTGATTTTGAGAAACGGTGGGTATAAAAACAGTCTATGCAAAAAATAAATACTACAGGAAGGAGACTATTCCATTTCACGCCAATAAACTAAACGCCAACAATGTAAAAACACACCTTAATTCTAACTCTTTTTGACAGTAGTCGTACTATTTTTATATGCCAACCACTATACTTTGTATAGACAGTTTTAACACACTAAATTCAATTTTAATAATAATTCCTAGTTAGAGAACTTAGAAAACCAGAGGGATTTTAGCACTAAATCTAAATTAGCATAAGCATTTAACAAACTTCTTAATTTATCACATTTATCACCAAGAGGGGAATTGTCAATTATGCATATACAGAATTATATCATTACAGTGCAGCTTTGGGACAGTTAATCATGAACCTTCAAGAATCATGAATAACCAGTGAACATTTGGCAATCTGAGAGCAATAACATAAACAAGAAAGGTAATCGCATCAGAACAAGAAAGGCTTCAGAGAAGCTTGCAGGCAGCGATCCATCCTGTGTCTAATGATTGAGCCAAGAAAGAAAAAAAAATAATAAATGGACAGACACACATTAATATTCAATTCTTTTCTCTGCTGAAGGTCTCATAGCAGAAGGGCCTGTCCACTGATTAGGACATTTAACTTTCTAACCACTGGCATTTTCTTTTTTCACAATAGAATGGTGACAAGTAATTAGTATACATTATCTTCTAATAGGGAAACAGTGAATTCTAAATAATGTGCCACCCATACAAGAGAGCTGCACTATACACAGGGTAGAATTTCATTTATGCAATTATTGACAACACGAGATTGACTAGTCAAATACTGTATGCTGACAGCATGCTCTCTATTAAAGGGGGTCAGAAGGTAAGACTTCACAATGGCTTTACCTCAGCTATTGTTATAGAATCTGGATACAGTGTGTGAACCAAATGATTTGCCAACATGAGGTAAGTCAAGGCATCTTCATCTACTTGTAGTCCGAAATATTCACTGTAATCACCTGAGAAACCTTGACCTTAGAAAAAGAAAATCAATATGGATATATTATGTTAAAAAGCAAGTCTTAACTCTGCACAAATACATCCACCAATTAGTTTTTTACATGAATTTTGTTATTGTAGCAGTTTAATAACATAAGTATGAGCAAATATACTGACTTAGAAAAGTACTACATGTCAACATTCAGGGTTCAGACAATCCTGCAAATCAATTTTGTTCGACAAATGCACAGACATGAGAAAAACAAAGCACTTTAAAGATTTAATTTAATTTTAGCTAAATTATATGGCAAAAAAGTGAAATCATACTAAAGGGAATTCTAAATATCAAATAATTTTTGATACATTTTCTGTCACATTAAGATGTTAATGTTAGCTTGTATTAAATCCCTTTGTGGTAAGGAAAAGAAAATAGGAAAACCATCATAAAACTGAGACACAATATTTATATTATTTCAAACAGGTACTTCAATTTATGCAATATGGAGTTCCCTGTGATAAAGAGATTATATATTCTCAACCTTCCTCCTGCCTCCTCTTCTCCCACCTCCTAACCTTGGTAGGTTATAGCACATTTCACTTACTTCGGTTATACCATTTACTTTCTATTCTTTCAGTAATTTACTATTATTGTTATAATAAAATCAAATTTGTGCTCAACGTCAGCCTTTTATCCTGTTTCTCTATATCTAATTTCCATTGATTTTTTTTTCTCAGTTTGCCGGATTCTATCGCTGAGGGATATTTTCAAGTATAATTATGGAACTCTTATTCTTCAAGTTCTTTCATGTTTGTATTTCAGCAGCAATATAACTATCAAGTTTCTCACTTTTGTTTGATGCTGTCATTCTTTAATTTTAAAATGTTTAATTGACAAATAAAAATTGTATATATTCAAGGTTTCCAAGGTACTGATTTGATATTGGTATACAATGTGTACTGATTACTATACTCAAATTAATACATCCGTCACCGTAGTTACTGTGTGTATGTGCGTGTGTGTGTGTGTAACGATACTTAAAGTTGGCTCTCATCAAATACCAACTAATATTAACCATAGTTACATTAGATTCCACATAGCTTATGCACCTTAAAATGAAAGTGTGCCCTTTGATCAACATCTCTCCATTTCCTCCACTCCTCAGCCCTTGGCAACCACCATTCAACTAGCAAATGTTTGAGTCACACTTTGTAAGAATTTGGCAGACATTGCTTCTGCAAATAGAATACTATGAGTCCAACCATTTTTTTTTTTCATGTATGTAAGTAAATTGCAGGTAAATTCATCACTTCCTGATACATTTCTCTTTATTACTGAGTTTATAAATTAAATACTGTGCTTGATATTAATTGCCTTATCTCAACTTTTCTGGTATTCTATTTGATCTTTTGCTGTGCGGTTTCAGGAATTTTGTTTGTTGCTTCCTCTCTCATTCCAAGGGAGAAAAAAAATGTTAAATAACTCAGAATGTTTTTCTTTAACCATTTCTTGGATTCTCTATCCATGAAAAGCACATCCCATATCCATAAACTTTGGTTCACTCCTCTAATACCACGAATCACTGGAATATACTCCTCTCTCAGTGAGGTAGTTTCTGCAGGGGCATGTAGGTGTTTAAATCTAGGAAAAGATTTTTCTTAACTTTTTCCATGCTTGTCTTTGCATACCATAAGTCAGCTTCCCCAAAACTGGAAAATGGATATCAATGTACTCTGTTGTGTTTTACAGATGCAACTTTTTTCCTAGGAACATTTCAAGTGGGCAGCATCATGAGTAAGATCAAGCAGTAGCACACTTTGAATGTTTAGCTTCTTTCCTTGGTAGTCAGTTTTCAAGATTTAGTCAATTAGTCAAGTTTTTCACCCTTTTTAACTTTTTTCTGTTTATTGCTGGTGAATATTTGGCCATTGAAAAATAATAATAATTGACTGGGTGCGGTGGCTCACTTCTGCAATCCCAGCCCTTTGGGAGGCCAAGGTGGGCAGATCACCTGAGGTCAGGAGTTTGAGAGCAACCTGGCCGACATAGTGAAACCCCGTCTCTACTAAAAAAAATACAAAAATGAGCCGGGTATGATAACAGGCACCTGTAATCCCAGCTACGTGGGAGGCTGAGGCAGGAGAATCGCTTGAACCCAAGAGGTGGAGTTTGCAGTGATCTGAGTTCACACCACTGCACTCCAGCCTGGGCAACAGAAGAAGACTCTGTCTCTAATAATAATAATAATAATAATAATAATAATAATAACAACAACAACAACAACAATAATTGTTCCCATGTCATCTATTGAGGGAATAGTATTCTGTGATTCCACTTCTTTGTCCAACTTTTATTTTTATTTTTTATTTATTTATTTTTTTTGAGACGGAGTCTCGCTCTGTTGCCCAGGCTGGAGTGCAGTGGCGCGATCTCAGCTCACTGCAAGCTCTGCCTCCCAGGTTCACGCCATTCTCCTGCCTCAGCCTCCCGAGTAGCTGGGACTACAGGTGGCTGTCACCACACCCAGCTAATTTTTTTTTTTGGATTTTTCGTAGAGATAGGGTTTCACCATGTTGGACAGAATGCTCTCGATCTCCTGACCTCGTGATCCACCACCTTGGCCTCCCAAAGTGCTGGGATTACAGGTGTGAGCCACCATGCCCAGCCTGTACAACTTTTAAACTGAGAGTCTGATAAATATTTTTAATTTCAAATTAATTTATAATTTAATTTTAACCAGGTAAATCTATAATTAAAATACATATTTTATTCCATGTGTAATATGTAAAAACCTATGCATTCACAACTGTTCTCATCTATTATTTTTTATTTTAATTGGAAGTGCTGTAGTGTTCACATCCTGAAGGTGTTATAATAAATGGTTTCGTCAAAAAAATTTTAAGCTACACAATAATGATAGCATATCCAGTAGATACATTTCAAAGGAAATGATTATCTTTTGTTTACTTATAAAATGTACTACACTCTACCTATTGCCAAAATGGGATAATAAATTACTACAAAGAGAGCATATGTAATGGAATTAATAAAAATCAAGGCATAATGGCTATTGCAGCTTCTGCAATTAACCCCAAACCTGATTATATCAGGTTACCTACCCATTCCATGGTGATGATAAAGCATGGATGTAACACCATCAAAACGAAATCCATCAAAGTGATATTCTTCCAACCACCATCTTATGTTTGACAGAAGGAATCTTAAAACTTCCCAGCTAAAATATAAGAGGAATATGTATTTAAGCAAAATGTAAAGAGCATTTTCCTTAATTGTTATAAATGTTTGCTATTAACTAAAATTATAGGGCTCTATCTCAAGAACCATAATGTTCAAGAAATATAACATATATAAAAGTCACAAAACTACTAATAAGAATCTCAGCTGGCTGATGAAACTCATTCTAAAAGGAAAAATTATTTATTTTTATAGTCCACAAAGTCACTTAATATCTAAGAAAATTTAGGGAAAAATTTTTTTAACATGAACTCTAAAACCAGAGACCCCGTCTTATTCAATGCTGTGTTCTCAGCAACCACAAAAGTCATTACTATATAGTAGTGCTCAAAAAAAGCAAAGGAATAAAATCTATTACCAGTTCCCGAATTTTTAAAAAGGATTTTCACGTAATATAACCATAATTATGTGATTTTTCTCCTTTCAGAAAATGCATTTTCATTATCAGTACAAAAAGTACTTTCAATGACTTTTTGCTTAAAATAGTTCCTCCTGCTACAATTTCAAACAGATATGATTCAGAATAAAAAGTAAAAGATAAAAACAAAATCAACCACATGGTAAGCAACATTACATTGACTAGACTGTTGTTTCGTGGAGGTAAAAAAAGAAAACCTAATTAACAAAAGTCACATTTAATAAAGTCCAAAGTTCTACGAGTTTCAGAGTCCTACATCCATAAAAAGAGGAAAACAAAGAAACCGTATAACTCAATTAAAAACACCACACGAAACAAGTCTGTTTTGGACAAGTGAAACGAAGGCATCATCAATTAGTATTTTCATTAGTCATATAGTATGGTTGACTTCTCTATCTTATTATAACTGTGCTTTTAAGACTTTAATACCTCATTTAGTTTAATGGCAAAGCTCCGTAATAGTGTACACAAATCTTTACCCCAGTTGAAATTTATGTATTTTTAAAACCTTGCATATATTAAAGAACAATCTGACATAAATGAAGATGAAGTCATCAAAATTAACTTCAGAATTGTAAATCCAAACTTTGGGGAAAGATGAGTGTTGTTAGTAATTAACTGTTTTAAATAAGTTACTTTGAGTTTTGAAAACTTACTAAGTTAAAAAAAAAAAAGAAAAGAAAAGAAATCCAACCAATCTAATAGATATAAAAGGGAGACAGGAGGTTCAAGATTTTAAGGTTAAGCAATCTTGAAGGTAGTATTTGCTTATGGTTCTATAATTGCACATTCATAACGGTTTAAGGGGGAAATCCTGTTTAACAGAAGAAATGAACAGAAACAAACAGATATACTAGAACTGCATAAGATCAAAATCACTCTATTTTGCAAAGGAATTTTCATTACTATATTGTTTCTAGTTTTCTTATAATTAATACATTTTATTTTTCAGAGTTTTAGATTCACAGAAAAATTGAAAGGAAGATAGAGAGAGTTCCCTGTCCCCAAACATATATCTATATTTTTTAATGAGTTTGCTATGAGAATTTCAGAAAGACTTGAATAAAATTGCATACAAATAATCCTTTGAAAATAATTTTTTGAAAAGAATACACTCTTCTAAGTAAAGGGAAAGATAAGTGAATTATATTGCAATTCAATGGAAAACAGAAGAAGGAAACGATGTGAACTTGATCATTGAAAAGAAAGAATTGCCTAGTGTCACAGCAGGTTTCATTAAAGTCAAAGGTAATGAAAGTCCTATTGATTCCTTTTACTACAATATTTAATCTATTCTATTCTTGACCAAAACAGGAAATAAACTGTGTTTAAAATATTAAAATAAAAAGACACACTTGGGGATAACTATGTCACTAGACAGATTCTTGGCGTGTATGAACAACAAAAAAATTCCCGTGACAATCAGAAAAGAAACAATAGTGACCATGGAGCATCTAATTGAAAAGTTCTCATGGGTTAAAAACCGCATTCTATTCTTCAGATCTCTGAAATACTCTTTCACATTGTCTAAAAATGATAAACAGTCTTTTAAAAACTACTTCAAGATTAAAGTGATAAATCAAATTTTTACTGCTTTTAATGTCTTTTATATTTTATGAATCATTAATGAAATACAATAGACAAAATTTTATGAAAGTAAACTATCTAGAACAAAATAGTAAAGAACAAAAATCCAAAAAGTTTTATTTTTTTAACCAAATATCAGGAAATGGATTTAGGAAAAAGCCAAATATAAAATTTTAAAGTCAGTAGCAGCAAGTTCAAAGCACAAGTTTAAAGCATTAATTCTCTGGCTAAGTCAACTTTCTAAAACTAGATTATTAGTATCAGTTATGCAAAAATAACCAGTCTTATAAGGGTAACATTTTATAAATAACTAGCCTTTGTTGTATAAGAAAAAATAAATTGTCAGTTTCTAAGGATAGTAGTCTTAGTTATGCTATGTTAAATTTTCTGCACAAAAGCACAACCTTTATGTATATAATTATAAAATACCTAGTACACATTACTGGAGAAAAAAACTTCTTCCCTAATCATTTTGTCTCATGGGTACCCAGACCTCAAAATCAAGTGGAAGATTCTTAAATTCACATTAAAAATCCAAGTATGGAAGGACATCCAGCAGAGGTACCCTATTCTGCACCCCACCCTACAGCAGTCACATGGACCATGAAAACAATAATCTCATACAGGAAGGAACTAGTTCACTGAATCTAAGATTTGTCTTTGAAATAGAGCAAGCTTAAAGAATAAGTCACCAGTCAAAATACTGATTTCTGAAAGATGTTCAATATTACTTCTACTCTCATAATTTCCAAATTCAAGCTCATAGATTCCATTTTTCCTTTTGTGGGGTGTTGACAGAAAAAGGAGTACAAAGTATTCCAGACTATGACTGAATTAGAAATACTGTCCAGTGTGCTCTCTAGTAGTAAATGAACTGAATCACCTCAACCGAATTGTTTGCCTTAAGTCAGAGTATGACAATGTCTGGTAAAAAGTACAATAAAAAAGGCAATTTACTTTTTCTACCTCAAAATGTCATCAAACAGCCCATAACACAGTTGATATATCCAGTTGATTAGAATCTCATAAAAATATACAGCAGAATTTAAGACAGTTTTATGTTGGTGCGTTCCAACAGACAAGCCTGGACTTAGATTACTCCATTGGCATACAGCTTTTAAAGCCTGTCCTTACAAACCACTTACTGGCCAGAAGCCTAATTTCTGAACAATTGGAGGAGCTAGATGCTAACTTTTAGATGGTGATGCCAAATATATACATATACACACATACACACACATACATACATACACATATACACACACACACACACACACACACACCCCTCATTGGTCAAAATGAATGTGTTTAAGAAGTAACCCATTTTAGTTCTTAGCTTTATATCTTAAACTAATTAACACATATATTAGAAACCAGCACTGTGTTATTTGTACTGTGCATAGTCAACTGATTAGAGCACTCCCAATTTATTTTTTGGAGCAAAACAAAATCTCTAATATCCAGAAAAAAAAATGAAATGCAACTGACTTTCTTATGAATCATAAACCACTAAAAAAATGTTTAAATCAAAGGTGCCTAATATAGAAACTGAATACATCGATGGATAATACATACATTTAAGGATTTCTGGCAATCAAAATAATCATGATTCTAATTGGCTTAGATGTCTGAAATATTCAACCTGTAATCAAGTAATGAGGATTTTTTAAGGAAGTTTTGTCACACAGATAATTCCAATACTAAGGTTTTTAGGAAATATCCCTAAAATCAAAAACTGTTGATTGTCTCACATTCTGCCAATAATCTTTATAATGAAATATAGACAAATTTTCTCAGTAAGCAACTATCATCAAATAGAATGACATTTATTTAATAATGTTGCATTTTGTAATCCAAGCTTATTTGCCTAATGTTCTATTTATTTGTGGTCCAGAAAAACCTCTGAGATTTTCAAAATTTGCAACTTAGTTCACTGGATGTTACTAAACCTACTAATATTGTCTATTAATAAATAAGAGACATTACTAAGCAACTGCTAAATATCAAAAAAATATAAAGGAAAAAATCGTGTTCCTCTTAGATATTCTGTAGGCTTTTAGGCTGCATGTGTATTAAACAGTACATCATAAAACCATGAATCCAAAACCTCATGTTTTGATCTGTGTATTTCAACTGAGGCAGTAGATTGTGAGGAAAAACGAGAAAGGTATAGAATGCCAAAAAAAGGCCTTAAATTATAATAAAAATGACATATTTTTAGAAAGATATTCTAAAATATCACCGTTTAATATAATAATGGGTAACATCGAACTACCTGGTTTACTTTAAAAAATTAAAAGAATTCATTAATCAATTTAATTTTAATTAAATTAACCAACAATTAAAAATATTATGTTTTGCTCATAATTTGTATAAGTTATGTTACAAACTCAGCCAACTGGAATTAAGAGAAAACTTGAAATGATCAAAAAGTAGTAATTCATATCCAGTAGCAGATAACAGTATCATCAATAATAAAATAAAACATATCTGGATTTTTAGACACTGAGAATTAAATAGAGGCTATTGTATATATTAATTTCAAATACTATTAGATAATGAGTAGCACAAAACTCTAGTGAGACAAATTATTCATTCAACTACTAAAAATCTGTAATAATAGAAATTTCAGAATGTAGGTAGTTATTATAAATTATGGTTTTGAAGTTCTTTTCGATATCACATAATTTTCTGGATTTTATTCTGTGCAACTTTATTTTATGTAAATTAATATATTGTTTAATCAGATTATATCCACTGAGCTCCAGTTATCTACATCCATTAACAAAATAAAGCATTTTCTTCCCATAAGGCCTAAATTGTACTTAGCATATTAAATACTTTATTAAAATTAACTCTATTTGTATTATATGTAATTCCAATCAGGTATTCTCTAGGAAATAAGTAGAAAAGGATGATATGGTGCTTTCATAGGCTAAATGATTCCAATCAGACTTTTACTAAAATAATAAAAT